TCTCTCTCTCTCTCTCTCTCTCTCTCTCTCTCTCTCTCTCTCTCTCTCTCTCTCTCTCTCTCTCTCTCTCTCTCTCTCTCTCTCTCTCTCAATAGTAATAATAGTAATAATAATAACGCACAAGAAGGGAAAGAAAAGTAAAGCAATGCGGATCTGGACAGCCCAGAGTTACAAAAAAAAAAAATTAAAATCCCTATGGCCTAAATGATTGGCAGCGTCCAAGCTACAGCCTTGGCTGTCCAGCAAGGTGACCCGGCCCTGGGCCGAGTGTCAACAGGGCCCTGACATGCCACATCCTAGTTTGTTTTGCTGGCAACCCAAACCTGTGGCCAGATGCAGCAATCAAGCAAATAGGGAAATATGTAAGACCGACCATGAGCCCACGGACCTCAACTACTCTTTTCACCGAGACCAAGTACACAGTACAGACATCAGGAATCTGTGGCCTGACGCCGCCAGTGTACGCACCTGACTGACAGATGTCTTTGACCGATGAAGTTCAGGTCTCCAACATAAGAAACTCACCCACCTAAAGGAAGAAGGTGTATGGGAAGGAAAAGATAGTGTACATGCCCAGGAAGGTGAGGAAGACAAGCAGAGAGAGTATGGATGGTTGACCATCTATACTTACAAGAGCATTGGCCTTCTCAATTGTGCATACAGCAAGATCTGTGTCCTTGGGAAGTGTCGAACCCCCAAACGTACCAAAAAAGCTCCTAACACGCTTGCCAAGTGGCTCCAGCAAGGCCTCCACGTGTTCCGCCTTCACAAAGAATGGTCATCAGCCAAACCGCAAGATGGGTTTCAACAAAATCAGAAGCTGGTTGTAAGATAAAAGGTCAACCAAACAAAGGCATCAAGCAAACTGATGAAAAGGCATTAAATGAAGTCAAAGAAAGTGCAGTATGCACTAATACAGTGAGTTCCTATCAAATGAATGAAGCAAGCAAGCAAGCACACCATAGTCGGTTCTCTTGATCAAAGGGGCAGCCAAGCAAAGCAACCAGACAAGCATGCAACGATCACTTGTCCATTTACACCCAACATGTGTACATCATACACTGTGTTTTGCTTTTCGTTTATCCCCTCCATGGTTAGGGAATCATCACAGATTGCCCCTGAATTTTCCTAACTCCTTCAACTTTTCACTATGTCAAATGCCTGGACAGGCAGAGATAATTCACATACAAATTGATACAACACAACTGACCAATCACCACACTTATAGCTGTGTCCCACTGGCCGGATAAACACAGCTACGTGGTTTGGTTATATATGACAGGTAGTTTAACCGCCCCACCTGAGAACAAAGTCTTCTGTCGGATCCCGCAGCACAGCACACCGAGCCTATAAGTTAAGTGAGAAAAATGTATCCTTTACTTTTTTTTAATCACAATGAGTCGACGACTGATGAAACGGGTACGTTGCGCAACACTTTTTTTTCATGCTAGCGCCACTCGGTTAGCGCTATCGCCAGCGCTATTTCGCGCCCCAGCCTCGCGCACAGCGGAGCCCGCTACCCGAAAGTGAAACGCGCGTCGCGCGCGGCAAACGACTTTTCCAGCTCTGTTCGAATTAGGGCGGGAAACAGGAGCCCTCACGCCACACCCGCGGGCATGGCGTAGCGATCTCCATAGCTGGGCAGGACTTGACAAGCAGGGAAAGAGGAGAGAGGTAGGGAGTCACGCAAAACAGGGAGGAGCCCCAGGGAAGATACTGGGAGGGCAAAGGACTATGCACCGCACAGGGTAACAAAGGAAACAGTAAAAGGAGGAAGGAGAAGTAAGAGTAAGAGAAGAGGAAAAAGCAGGGAGGAAGAGGAGAGCTAAAACAAGGAAAAAACAAACGCGCTACTCCACCGAATTTCCTTCGTTCGAGGGAAATAGGAGCCCGCAGGACAAACTCTTCGGAGGGTGGAAAGAAGGAACTGAAACGGTATTCACCAATTCGTGGTAGCTGAGGCAGATCCCAGGGCTTGATCCCTAGTTCCCCAACTTACCTGTGTATAATATCTACGTCAACTCGAAGAGTTGAACCTGCGACCTGTAGAACCGCCAGTGGTAGGTAGATTGGTCGTAGGGCACAGGATAGACTGGAATCGAACTGTAGACCTGTAGGGTAGAAGTCTAGGCAGCTCCGGAGTTGTAGCTGAAGACTGCCTGAAGAGTCAAGGCCGTAGCTGCTACTTACCTGAAAGGGCAAAGTCGTAGCTGCTACAGTACCGAAAGGCCAACTTAGAGAGTTCTAGAAGTGGCCTTTCGGAGTCAGTCCCTGTTAGGTGCAGGCAAGTGGTCAAGTGGTGCAGGCAAGTGGTCAAGTGGTGCAGGCAAGTGGTCAAGTGGTGCAGGCAAGTGGTCAAGTGGTGCAGGCAAGTGGTCAAGTGGTGTAGGCAAGTGGGCAAGTGGTGCAGGCAAGTGGTCAAGTGGTGCAGGCAAGTGGGCAAGTGGTGTGACTAAAGCAAGCCCATGTTGGAGAGAGTCCAGAAAGTACCAGTCCGGTCCAGCAAGTACCAACGGGGGAACTGTGTGCACCATGGGCCAGGGACACAAGGCAGACCAATGCAGCACAGAAGTATAAATCAAGAGGCTGCGTCCATTCATACATTCATTCCTGCGGATGCCATGCGGAAGCGCTACCTAGCAGCTTGTGCGAGGAGGTCTGCAGAGTGCCCGAACACGAAGTGGGCAGAGGAGTAGAGTGCAGCGATAGGTAGTGGCAGCTAGCGCTGCCATAGCTGTAGCCTAGCATGTGTGGTGTGTGAAGTATGATACTGAGTGTTGCGTGTGGGACATCCAGGGTGATCCAGAGTGCGAACAGTGAGTTGTGTGGGCCTGTCTCTTATACACATCTAGATGTGTATAAGAGATATCTTGAGTATTGTGTGGGCGCATGTCGCCAGTTGCTGTTTCGCTGTTTGCATACATGACAAGTTGAATAATCAGAAGTGTGATTTCAGAACAGCTCTACCCAAGTTCGAAAAACGACAACTCGTCATCATCAAGCAGACCCACCAGCAGCCGAGGAATCATTATGAGCGCGAGAGTCACGCGAGCAGGAAACAAGTCTCGAACCAGTAGTGAGCAAGAAACAAGCATAAGGAGGGAACGAGCAGCTACATCACGTCACGCCTCCGGGCGTAACATTTCACAACCAGACAAAGCTTCGAAGAACACAATCGAGAAGAGGGGATAGTAAAAAGAGAATTTTTTAGAGGAGGAAAGAGGAGCGGGAGGGAGGTGCTACCTAAGTTTAGAATAAGACAAGATCAAAAGAGGAGGCGAGGAGAAGAAGAGAGAGAGCGGAGAGAGCGGAGAAGAGAATCGAGCAAACTTTCCGAACTTTCCAAAAGAAAACGGACAAAGGCATTTCCACCGACAAACAAAGAAGGTGAATCACCACGAAGACACCACGAAGGCACAGAGGAACATCAGCGAAGAGCATCACCAAATCGAGACACGAGGTTCGATCTACCTCCCTCGAAGAAGCAAAGGTAAGAGCAGCCGACCTTTCCTAAACCTACGCTAAGGAAAGCCAGCGACTACGAGGGACCAGCGCGAGAAGCAATGTTAACAGATTTTTACGGGAAACAGGGCCATCGACTGCACGACAACAGCCATTCCACAAATGGCATACTATAGACCTCCAAAACCGTACAGACCTAGACCAAAAGCTACTACAGACAGACACCTACTAGCAATCTATCACGACAAAGTTCACACGAACACACACTGAAGCCCCAAAACCACGTCACGATAATACCCATCCTTACCGCAGTACCCGCTCTAGCCCCCCACCTCCCCTCCGATCCCGTATCATTATCCCTCCCCCAACCAACCTCTACCTCCACACCATCTCCTTCAGATTCCATCAACACGCCTCCTTTCTCCCCAACCGATCCTACTCTTCCCCCCCCCAAACCCAATCGATCACACCTTCTCTCACCCCAACACACTAAACACCCTTCCCCTATTCCGCTATCCAACCACACTTCGAACATTACCACTTCTACTCCCCTCACCCCTGCGCCCACTCAGCTTACACCTCCCCCTCACCTTATCTCCCGTCTAAATTCCTACGCTACCCCTTCCCCCCCCTACGCAGACAAATCGCAACCCAAAACCAACCCATCCCCCCCCACACACACAACATTCCCCCCTCTACTTCCCCCTCCTCCATTCCCCACTTACATTTAGCCCGCCCAATTTGGCAGTAATATCATTCTTAACCGCAAAAAGCGTAATTTTTTCTGATAATTAAGGGATTATTATTATTAATGCGCTTTCTGACCCCATCTTTCACGGTAATCGAAAAATTGTCTTTCACACACAAGAAATAGGACCCGTTTGAGGGATTCTTTCAACCCTCGCAAATAAACTCCTTAATCCTAAAAATCATAATAATTACTGTTAGTTTTTTAACCCAATATCCTAAATTCTAAATCGCAATAATTACTGATAGTTTCTTAACCCAGTATCATTAATACACAATTTATTAAACACAGCAACTATTGACAACATTAATTCTTTAGCAGTACCACCAAAATTATCGGTATATACATATCTCTCGCAGATCGGTTTTGGCCCCAATTGCATTGTTGTCGTCTTTCAATTTGCTCAGCTGCAACCCAGATGTAGGCTCATTGACACGCTCCCCAGGTGGGGAGGCGAAGCTCTGTGTCTTTTTTTGCTCTGTGTCTGACCCCACGCTCCCCAAGTGGGGAGGCGAAGCTCTATGCTTTTTCTGCCACTACTCAAGTACCTGATCCCACGCTCCCCAGGAGGGGAGGCGAAGCCCTGTGCTGTTTCCTACTGCTCACTTTCTGATCTCACGCTCCCCAAGTGGGGAGGCGAAGCTCTATGTTTTTTTTCAACGCTCATTATCTGATCCCACGCTCCCCAAGAGGGGAGGCGAAGCTCTTCTCTTTTTGACACTGCTCAATTTCTGCCCCTACGCTTCCCAGGTGGGGAGGCGAAGCTCTAACTGCCCATCTTCAGACTCAACGCTCCCCAAGCGGGGAGGCGAAGCTCTGTGTTTTTTTTCCTCTGCTCAGTCTCTAAGCCCACGCTCCCCAGGTGGGGAGGCGAAGCTCTGTGCGTTTTTCTACTATCCATCTTCTGTTCCAACACCCCCCAAGTGAGGAGGTGAAACTCAGTGCTTTTTCCCACTGCTCAGTCTCTAATCCCACGCTCCCCAAGCGGGGAGGCAAAGCTCTGCTCTCCATTCACTGCTCAGTTTTTGAGCCCACACTCTTCAAATTGGGAGACAAAGCTCTGCCAGATTCTCCACTCGCTGCCCGGGATTTAATTACACGATCCACCATGGCAGCAACTCACACCACAGCAGCGGCTTCAACATCAACCTCGGGATCGGCCTCAGACGCAGCAACAGGCTCTGCCGCAACCTTCACCCCAGCCTCTGGTACAGCAACAGGCGCGACCTCAGGCACCAAAAGAGCACGAAGCACTAATGATCAAGACCCAAGCCAAGAGGTCCTCAACCTCATGATAAAGGAAACACGCGTCAAACCAATGATCACCAAAGAAATTGTGAAAGTCAGCAAGGAGGAAAAAGCAGAAGTCGAAGTCTGGGTATATCCTAAGGAACACTTGCCCGTGTTAGACGAATTTTTCAAAAAACACGCAGTCGTTTGCTCCTTCCCAGCCAAACTAAAACAACTGCCGCCCACTGAGAAAAGGAAAAGGGTCTGCGACGCTCTCCAGAACATGAAGAACCTGCGGGACACGGTCCCCAAGATTGCCTTAC